GAGAGAGTCTAGATTTACTAGAGAAATAGAGCAGCCAGAGAGAGTCTAGATTTACCAGAGAGAGAGAGTCTAGATTTACCAGAGAAATAGAGCCAGAGAGAGTCTAGATTTACCAGAGAGCGAGCCAGAGAGAGTCTAGATTTACCAGAAAGCGAGCCAGAGAAAGTGTAACTCATGTATGTTTTCATGTGAAAAATTTTAGAACTCTTGAATGATTTTCATTTTCCACCAATCAATGCATTTTGCATCAATCGAAAAAAAAAATAAAAATGCTTGGTTGGTTCAAATGTTGGTTGGCTCAGTACAAACCGACCGAGTTCCACAATTTTCTTCCATTGTTCGTCTTCGCTGTAAATGGCCTTGCGTTGTCGTGGAGGAGAACAATAATTTATTATTAATCCACTGTGTATGATGCTATTAATGTGAAAATAAGATATGTTATTAGGTTTCAAATTGATCCTTAACTGCCACGCTTGATTAGTATTTGGGATCATGCATTACAACTGATCCGCCAAAATGAAAATTACTTATGACTAAACGTTAGTTAGATTGGTTTAAATCTTAAGCAAATGACTGGAGTTACTTAAAGAAACCATGCAAAGAAAATAACAGAATAACTAAAGAATTAGTGAATATTGGCAGTTATACTAATACTCTATAATGTGGTCATAAAATATACCTAATCTACTATTGTAATATCTTTCTCTTCTATTCATTAGACCCAAGCAAAATTAGTAAGCAACATGAAGACTGAGTCTTATTTCTTAATTAGTAAATAGAAGACTAAATTCCTTCAAAGAAGATACCGCATCTCAAATTGACACAATATGCAAAAGTTTTTTATATCATGGTTAGAGAACTAGAGAGAGAAGAAAAAAAACGAGAGAAAAAAGAGAGAGGAGAAAAAAGAGAGAGAAGAAAAAAAACGAGAGAAAAAAGAGAGAGGAGAAAAAAGAGAGAGAAGAAAAAAAACGAGAGAAAAAAGAGAGAGAAGAAAAAAGAGAGAGAGAAAAAAAAAAACGAGAAAAAAAAGAGAGAGAAGAAAAAACGAGAGAGAAAAAAAGAGAGAGAAAAAAAACGAGAGAAAAAAAGAGAGAAGAAAAAAAAAAGAGAAAAAAAGAGAGAGAAAAAAAGAAAGAGAAAAAAGAAAAAAAAGAAAAAAAAAAGAGAAAAAAAAAAGAAAAAAAAAAAAAAAAAAAAAAAAGGAGAAAAAACAGAGAGAAAAAAACGAAAAAAAACGAGAGAGAAAAAGAGAGAAGAAAAAGAAACGAGAGAAAAAGAAACGAGAGAAAAGAAACGAGAGAAAAAAAAAGAGAGAAAAAGAAACGAGAGAAAAAGAGAAAAAAGAAACGAGAGAAAAAAAGAGAAAAAAAAACGAGAAAAAAAGAGAAAAAGAAAAAGAAAAAAAGAGAAAAAGAGAGAAAAAAGAGAGAAAAAAGAGAGAAAAAAAGAGAGAAAAAAAAGAGAAAAAAGAGAGAAAAAGGAGAGAAAAAAGCAGAGAAAAAAGAGAGAAAAAAGAGGAAAAAAAGAGGAAAAAGAAAAAAGAAAAAAGAGAGGAAAAAGAAAAAAAAGAAAAAAGAGAAAAAAAAAAGAGAAAAAGAGAGAAAAAGAAAAAAAAAAAAAGAAAAAAAAGAGAAAAAAGAGGAAAAAAAGAGAAAAAAAAAAAAGAGAAAAAACGAGAAAAAAAAAAAAAGAAAAAAACAGAGAGAAAAAAGAGGAAAAAAAGAAAAAAAAAAAAGAAAAAAAAAGAGAAAAAACGAAAAAAAAAGAGAAAAAAAAAAAGAAAAAAAGAAAAAAAAGAAAAAAAAAAAAGAAAAAAAGAAAAAAAACGAGAGGAAAAAAGAAAAAAAAGAGAAAAAAAAAAAAAAAAAAAAAAAAGAGAAAAAAAAAAAAAAAAAAACGAGAAAAAAAAAAAAAAAAAGAGAAAAAAAAAAAAAAAACGAGAGAAAAAAAAAAAAATACGAGAGAAAAAAAGAAAAATACGAGAGAAAAAAAAGAAAAAATACGAGAGAAAAAAAAAAAAACGAGAAAAAAAAAAAAGAAAATACGAAAAAAAAAAAAAATACGAGAGAAAAAAAAAAAAAAAATACGAGAAAAAAAAAGAAAATACGAGAGAAAAAAAAAAAGAAGAAAATACGAGAGAAAAAAAAAGAAAAAAAACGAGAGAAAAAAAAGAAAGAAAAAAAGAAAAGAAAAAAAAAACGAAAAAAAAAACGAGAGAAAAAAGAAGAAAAAACGAGAGAAAAAAAGAAAAAAAACGAGAGAAAAAAAGAAAAAAAACGAGAGAAAAAAAGAAAAAATACGAGAGAAAAAAAAAGAAAATACGAGAGAAAAAAAAAGAAGAAAATACGAGAGAAAAAAAAGAAGAAAATACGAGAGAAAAAAAAAGAAGAAAATACGAGAGAAAAAAAAAGAAGAAAATACGAGAGAAAAAAAAAGAAGAAAATACGAGAGAAAAAAAAAGAAAATACGAAAAAAAAAAGAAAAAAAAAGAGAAAAA